TATATGTAAATGCTTTATGCTTATATATTTCAATTCCAATTCCTAAATAATAACAATGGCTAATTTGGAACATTCCATCAGGATTATTCATCTCTGCAGATTTTCCATCCTTTTCAACTCCAATTCCATATTCATAACAATAACCAAGCCAAAATGTTTTATAAGAATCTGTATACTTTTGACTAGCGATGAAATTCAATTGATTAAGAACATTAGTTATTTTAGTAATGTTGTCTATATCTTTTTCTTCATTTGACATTTTGGATAAATAAAAATATACGTAAAAGTTATAATAAAAGCAATAAAAATTTACTGAAAAATTACGCAAATATATACAGTATTAAATTGTACCGAATTTGTATCATGTAGTACCTTTAGGTAAAAGTTTTTGTCGTAGTTGAATTAGGACGCTTCCCTCAATGTGATTGGATTGTGAACGAGATCGTGCACAAGTACGTACTACTACTACGTACGTACTACGATCAATTGAAGTTATTAAAATTTAGCCAATCAGAACAACTCTGGGAAAAAAGTACGTAGTTAGCAAGGTAATAAAATAAGTAATAATTAATTATTTTTTTTTTTACTCCCTTACTTTGATTGATTACTTATTACAATATTGACATAATTTTAAAATTTGATCGGTTGTGTGTTAAATGTTAGATAATAAAAAATTACGCAAAACATATATTATGTTGGAATTACGTTTAAGTTTATTATTAATAATTTTTATCAAATAACAACAAAAATAGATTACAAATTAATGTTAAAAAATTCTAGTTTAATCTATAAATATATATGACTAGATAATGATTAGGTTTAACATAATTTTAAAAATATATTATACTAAATTTCGATTTTTCATGCATATAGCATTGCGTGACCAGTCATGTTAAACGTCTAATAATTATTATTATTTATTAGGGTGGAAGAATATATTTATAGCGGAAAATTTAGTGCTATAAATAAAACCTTCAGGATATTTGTCACCGCCGCCTAATACAATGATAATTATGGGAATATATTATTTATAATTAAAAAGGAAATAACAAAAAAATTCTCTGTATAATTATTAAATTAACTTACATTTTACGTTTGATGGAACAACACCGCCTTGAGTATTTACACGAACATTATAGGTTACATCTTTAAATGCACCAACTCCATCGGTATTCTATTTATCATTATAAAATGTTAATTATAATAGTTTATATGTAATAGAAATTGGATTATAGAATTATTAATTACATTAACGATTTCAAGTCCCCAAGCAAGATTTTCTTTTGGGCGAGGAGATGGAGTTGTAGGACCATTAGTTAAATTCACCGATGAGGTATCATATTTTGGAATAAGAGACCTAAAACCATGGCCACCTTAATAAAATAAATTCAGTTTAACGTTAAATCGATATATTTTTAGAAATGATATTACTGTATTATGTAATTTATTATGAATTTGACCAGAATTATAATTATAAAAATTTTAATTCTGATAACAGCAATATCAGTTGTTAACTGATTCCAAGTACCAAATAAAATTAATATTATTACATACCTGGAATTGAATATGATGAAACTACGGCTGATGAAGAGTCACAGAACGAATCTTCTTGGCTATTATAAAGTAAATTACGACCTTGATCTAATAATTATTAGATAGTGTAAGTATTACAAAAATTATAACATAAACAAAAATATATATGTAAGTACATACCAAGTACCCAATTACCACCGGTACATTTATACCAAAGATATCCCTTAACGTATAAATAAAATTTAAAGCAATTGTCTCCCGGGACAGTGATATTTTTGAAGTCAATATGCTTTGGATACTCTTTATTTATCAAAAGAGATTTATGTTATTTATGTGCAATTTGATTGACATATTATATTTTGAATATTTGTACGTACTATAAACTCCGATTGATTTAGGTTCTTTTGATCGAAAAACACCAGCAAATGAATTGCTTACACAGAGCAAAAGAGTTACCAAGACTATGAGAAATCTTAATTTTACCATCTTTGATAGCTTTTTTTTATTAAAAAATAATTTCTGAAAGAAATATTGTATTTACACAAATAATGATATGAGGTAAATAAAAAAAAATTAGGATTTAATTACAATATTTAACATCGAGGAAATTGCAAGCTTTTTATATCTTTCCTTGGACACGAATATTCGCGAAGTAAAATAACACCACTGCAAGTTCGAAAAAACGTCGGTGTTTTTGGTGTGGTGCAATGCAGGATCGATAATAAACATTATATTTATTCTATTATCTAAGGTAGGTAGCACGGTATTCTAAGCTTATGTATGCCTAGTCACCAATTATAAGGCAGCTTATTTTTAAAATATAAAATTTATTTCATATCTTGGCGAGCTGAGGCATGTTGTTTTGTTGTTGTTGTGCGTGTGTTGATGCCCCAAAAATTATCCGCGATACTTACTCTTCTACTATCGTCTCCTGCATAAGCTCGCAGAATAATAAACTATTGTGGTTTAAAATTTAATGGAATACGAAAATAAGTGGGAGCTT